TCAGCTCAAAGTTTCTATGTGTGACGGAAGACGACCGTCTGTTCCATATATCTCGGTTTCTGTAAGGGCTATCAAAAATCTGTCAACTGATAAAATCTTAGCACAAGTGTTGTTAACATTTCTTCAGTTGTCGTATTTTTGCTAACTCGCATAAGAACCTCTCAAATTCAGCTCAAAGTTTCTCTGTGTGACGGAAGACGGCCGTCTGTTCCATATATCTCGGTTTCTGTAAGGGCTATCAAAAATCTGTCAACTGATAAAATCTTAGCACAAGTGTTGTTAACATTTCTTCAGTTGTCGTATTTTTGCTAACTCGCATGAGAACCTCTCAAATTCAGCTCAAAGTTTCTCTGTGTGACGGAAGACGGCCGTCTGTTCCATATATCTCGGTTTCTGTAAGGGCTTTCAAAAATCTGTCAACTGATAAAATCTTAGCACAAGTGTTGTTAACATTTCTTCAGTTGTCGTATTTTTGCTAACTCGCATAAGAACCTCTCAAATTCAGCTCAAAGTTTCTATGTGTGACGGAAGACGACCGTCTGTTCCATATATCTCGGTTTCTGTAAGGGCTATCAAAAATCTGTCAACTGATAAAATCTTAGCACAAGTGTTGTTAACATTTCTTCAGTTGACGTACTTTTGCTAACTCGCATAAGAACCTCTCAAATTCAGCTCAAAGTTTCTTTGTGTGACGGAAGACGGCCGTCTGTTCCGAAAGTTTCGTTGCGATCTTATTTATCGCGGTTTCTGTAAGGGCTATCAAAAATCTGTCAACTGATAAAATCTTAGCACGAGTGTTGTTAACATTTCTTCAGTTGACGTATTTTTGCTAACTCGCATAAGAACCTCTCAAATTCAGCTCAAAGTTTCTCTGTGTGACGGAAGACGGCCGTCTGTTCCATATATCTCGGTTTCTGTAAGGGCTATCAAAAATCTGTCAACTGATAAAATCTTAGCACAAGTGTTGTTAACATTTCTTCAGTTGACGTATTTTTGCTAACTCGCATAAGAACCTCTCAAATTCAGCTCAAAGTTTCTCTGTGTGACGGAAGACGGCCGTCTGTTCCATATATCTCGGTTTCTGTAAGGGCTTTCAAAAATCTGTCAACTGATAAAATCTTAGCACAAGTGTTGTTAACATTTCTTCAGTTGACGTATTTTTGCTAACTCGCATGAGAACCTCTCAA